CTAGTTGATGCTTTCTAGTTCTGTATACTCAGGTATGGACCAGCTCAAGTTCTTTGTCCACTTGTTTCTCACCATTATGGCTAAGTTCTTGGACCATATTTTCATTTGTAGTAATGTTTTAGTAGAGACAAAAATAAAGTCTCACTGTCTAATTTACCAAAAGCTGTAGATTGCTTTAAGTAAGAGAGACACTTTTTTTGCCAAATGGTGTGTGGTGTTGTTTTTTTTCCCTCAGTCTTTAAATTTACGCAGTTATTCTTTTTCTTTCAACCTTTTTGGTTTGAGAGTCAATCCAGGTGCGAACTGGAAGAGGTCCTTGTTTGGGGATGACTATTAAATATGAGTTTTTTTTAAGAATTTAACCAGTTTTACTTAAAATATGTTCTATATTCATTTTCCTCAACGATATTCTGTATTTCAGGCATAATTTAATGCCAAGTCAAATGTTTTATGGATGTCTATCTGCATTATTTCATGTAGTAGACCTGTAAGAGTTTACCATAAAAAACATTCATAAGAGGGTTGTGCCAATGTTCTAGCTTATACAATCTCATCAGCATTGTTTGTAATCAAAACAAAGGTACCAGCTGAGGTTTAGAGCTCATGTTGCTTTGTGTAAATAATGCTTTCTGTTAGCAAGGTCTGCTTCCAAAAAAATTGGCCTTATAGGTAAGTGGATGGAAGAGCTTTTCTGATCATGTCTGTCCTATGTCTTGATGCAGCTAGAGATTCACTAATGCAGTCAGCAGTTAGACTCAGAGTTATCAGACAAGTGATAGGTTAGGACCCTATTCACACTGACTTTCTTTGTAACAGAAATGAGGTTTTGCTAGTAGAGTTTCGCTGGTAGCAAAAATATTCTCAGTCATTGTCAGGGTTCAGTATCATGTCAGTTGGGACAGACGTAAAAGATACTGGAAGCTTCAGAAGGCCCAGTCTCTACAAGTATTTTTTTGCTGCTGTTAGTGTTGATAGAACTGTATCGGCAAAGGAGTGTTGCAGATTTTACGGTGGGGAAAAAGCTAGTAGAGATGCAGTTGTTGTGGTTGTACTTGCTTTAGAGCTGTGTGATATTTGATGCATACTGTGTGCTTAGATATATTAAAAGTTGTAGTGGTAGTGCTGTTGTCAAAATGCTGAATTGCAGAAAGGATTCCAAAAGGTATAAGTCCTTTTGGGTAACTGGGAGCTTTGCCTGTGACTGGCTTTTCATACTGGCTTTTTCTACATTAAAGGAAAAATGTAGTGCTATCTAGTGAGCTTTTTGCATTGATTCAGGTTTTCTTAAAGTTTATTTCTACTGTTTGCAGGCAAGAGGGGAAAAGAACAATACAAGGACTTACTTCACATGGCATGTAAATAAAAGGAAGCCTGTTTCTAGTGATTTACTGAAAATTAGTTAATGAAGATTTTGATATGTCTGTTGATCTGTAATTCCACTTTCCTTCAGCAGATTTGTTATTTTCTTCCTTATTAGGTTTTCAAACTCATAGTGTATTGCACTAAGAAGGAAATAATTTCTACATGGAAGTAAATTAGAAACAGCATCCTGAAGAGTTTGGGAAAGTAGGTAGTGTTAGAGACTAGTTTTTAAAAGCAGAAATAGAATTATTAGATCAGTGGTTATCAGTGTGGCCCACCATGATGCGTGATGAGCAATAGGTAAGTGTGTTGTCACTATGTGAGGGTCTGTGCTTTCACTGGCTTGCCAGCTGAGAAGTGTTGATAATTGCTGGAAGGAGAACATCCCCAAGCTTCTGAGAACTGCAGACACAGTTTAGAAAGTTTTTAAATTTTTCAGTGGTTGACTTCATATCTCACTAGAAAAGTCTGTATCTAGCAGAAGCAGAATCTTAAATCTGATTTTTGAAAAAAAATGGCTGTATGAGGGTAGACTGGATGAGGTATCCTGTGTTCTGTCTGGCACATTTGAAGACGTGTAGAAGCATGGATAGTCTCTGCAGACATGTTTTTTGGAATCTTTCAAAATAAAATTGAGAAAGTAAATATTACAGGATGCAACATACTAAACAAGACTATGTGGAGTGTGGAAAGACAAGTAAGTGTAGGAGTGACCTTTTCTATAAATGTTCAGGTGCAACATACCTAGTTGCATAGTTCTGTCATTTCTTAGGTAACTGATACTTTAAATCTATTGCATCTTCCTCTGTCCTCCTTGTTCTTGATCTTGACTTTCCTTTGAGAAAGTCAGGGGACTAATTGACGTTATACTTTGGCTGGAAATAACCGTCTCTTTCTACAAAGTCCTTTCCTCCTGTCTCTTCTTCCCTTAGGGCTTTTCTATACTTGATATTCATTGTGACTTAGTTTCAGATACTGTGCAAGGATATATACTGCAGCCAACACCTTTTTACCCCTTCTGTCAGTGCTCTCCGGTGCTTTTGTGGTGGTTTTTTTTCTTGTTTGTTTGTTCTTTTAAGGTGATCTTGCTAGCTGCAGAATCTAATCAGATCCCTCGCAGTGCTGCTGCTTTATTTACCTGTAAACCCTCAGTTGCTCTAGAATAGCCTGACTGGAGCCAGTTCATCATTTAAATCCTGATATTTAGTCTGTGTTCATGTGTTTGTTTTTATTTACTATATTTCACTTAATGGGATGTTTCTTATATTGACATCAGTTGTTGAGCAGTCATACTTGTGTCAGCCTGGCTGTGCTCTTGATAGGAAAGAGTACAGTCTGTTTTTAATTCTGTCTACCGTGTATCTTTATACAGGCTGCTGTTTGAGTAGCTGTCTGAACGAAAGGTGATTCAGCTGGGCTATGAGAATGTCAGGGGCAATAACTAGTCTGGGGAAGGTGTCTGTTAAAATATCTACACAGAAGGCATAAAAGGAAATGTGACCTACAGCACATACACTTTAATGTGTATGTCCTGTTCTCATAATAGCATCGATATACTTTCTTCTCTTCCAAGGGAAGAATGCTGCATAACTGATTCTGAGTAAGGGCATATACCGCTCTCTAGGGGAGTTAGTGAACTTCTCAAAAAGCAAAATTCTCACATATGTCTCCAAGTCTTCCCCCAGCCTCACCCCCCGTTTGTCCTCACAAAAGCTGTACAAAACATAGCAAACAGCTATCATAGGCAGATTCCTCATCAGTCTCCACTGTATCACAAAGCTCAGAAAAAGGTCTCATAAAAGAAGCTATTACCTGTTACTGATCTGCTGCCCTATTGGTGTAGTCACAGTTCTTGAAAAAAGCCCTAAGGAGCAATAGAGATCCTGGAGCAGGTAGGCTGCACTCAGATTGGAAAGGGAATCTTCCCTTTTGCTTCTTGGAAGGTATTGTTTAGAATAGTTGCTTAAAAATGGTTAATTTTCAGTCTTGTGGGAATTGATATTTATATATCAATTATGGAGAGTGGAGGAAATGGAGAGTTTTAGCTGTACTCTTTTTGACCTTGTTTCCTTCATCTTAATTTAGAAAGTATACATTTGCATGCTTAGAAATATGTTTGTGTCTCATTTTTCCGTAATGCCACTAAATGTGTAAGTCAAGTGTATTTCTGAATTGTATCTTATTTTTGAAAGAAGTTTAGCAGTAAATAAGGGCTGCTTTTCCCTACTGCATAGAGCATAGCCAAGTGAATAACTGCTAATTCGGGAGCTAGGTGCTTTAAGCCCATATGCATGATTGAATGCAAGTCCAGTTCCCTTCTAAAGTGGTTTCTGATAGAAATGCAGAAGAGTGTTCTGAATCAAATTGAAATTCATGAGATAAATTCTTTTTGTCAGAAGTAATGTTTATTTGAATATCAACATGAGATGTTACAGACTAGGTCAGGGTTGTATAATACATCTGTTTTGAGGTTAGGAGATTTTTGTTAAGTCATAGTTTCATTCTGTTGGACACATTTTAGAATACTGAGATTAACACCATGTCTGAACATTATTTTTTAATTTTCTTAAATGTTTCATCTGTTGGCATACCTCTTCAGTTTTTATTGTTGGAAGTAGTTCAGCAGAGCTCTCCTATTGTCTGTGTTTTCCGGCCAGTTTCAAGAAAAACATTTGGAGCAGACATCTGACAGACTAATGGAGGTGTATTACCAACAGGGAGGGAAAGCAGCTTAACAAGTTTCCTTGGTTGTACTTGGGAAAAATTGATAAAAGAGTACTGAATGATGATTTGCTTTGTATATTGCAAGAATCAGTATTTGGAGTGTATCTTCTTGTACTTAGTCTTTTCTGGGCTATATCTGGTTCATTGTTTTGGAATTGGGATGTTTTTATATGACCCTATGTACAATTTAAATAGTGTAATCTCCATTTAAAAAGGTCATGGACCAGAGCATTCTTCAAAAAAAGTATTAGATATTGCTGATTATTAAACCCTCCAGCTGATCTGCCTTCTGTATGTTGTTCTCTCTTTTCTTCCTCTCCTTCCCCAATGTATTTTAAATACTATTGGAGAAAGTGAGATTCCAAGTAAAAATGTAGGAATGTATTCTTTGTCTCCATTAAAGTTTTTGTGCTTTACTTGTTCGTTTACAGTTCATTGTAACTTGGATCTCTAAACTAATGTTACTCGTGAATACAGGTGTCCATTGCATAACTAGATAATTCCTTTAGTTTCAGGAAAACTACTACTTGTTAAGATTAGACAGATGGCTCTGTCTCTAAGCACAAAATAAAGTTTAAAGATCATGTTATTTGTAGTAGAATATATGGTGAAATTTGATATCTGGGATTTAGGGAGCATTTTTTTTTTAGTTTGGAAAAAAAGCGTTCTTGAATTAAAGTGTTCAGACTTTTGACTTAAGGCTATATGTATGTGTGCAGCATGACCTAAACAGAGTTGTTTAACAAATTAAGAGCTGCCGTTTCCAAAATAAATACTAACATTCCCTCCTAAAGACATCTTAATGATACCTCTTTCAAATAGGACTTTATATGATGCTCCTATGGAAATAAAGTGCAGATGTCTGTGGTAATTATTTGAAGGTATAGGAATAACAGTTTCATTTTTCTTTTCAGTATGATGCTGTTCCAATCCAGTCTAGTGTGGTGTTATGCTCCTGTTCATCCCCATCAATGGTGAGGAACCAGGCAGATTCCAGCGCTCCATCTGTCATTTCCACCTGTGGCAGCAGACAGGGATCTAACATGGAGGGCACTGCAGCTGAATCAAGATCTAGTTCAAACTCCTTGCAGCAACATACAGGACAGCAGCCTCCACAGCCTCGAAAGAAACGACCTGATGACTTCAAATTTGGGAAAATTCTGGGTGAAGGATCTTTTTCAACGGTAATTTTACTTTTTATAGGTGGTGCCAGATATCTTAGATAAACTTCAAAATTTGTGGTGCAAGTAATATTGCTGAGATTTAAATCTGGAGAGAACAGCTTGAAGAGTAAATGAGTGGGACATAGTGGTTTTAAGTTTAATTATTAAAATTAAGTGTTGCACTAAATATGGGTGCTGATTTTTCAAGTACTTTTCAAACTCATGAGAAGTTCCATTGTATCCTGATGACTTTATGCTTGGATGTTTTACGAGGCATTGCTTTCTAATGTAAGTTTGATAGTGGAATGGGTTATGTTAAAATTTTATGATATAAAGGATTGGAACTGGGCTAGGAGTTTGTCAAGGTAAGAACTTCTGTGCCATGTCCTGTCTGTGGCAGGAGCTACTGCCAGATGCTTAGGGAAGAAAGTAAGAACAGTGATACTTGTCCAATAGTCTTTCTCAGCCTCTAGTGTCATGGCCCTCAAGGACTTCATGAGCCACAGTTAGTATCTTTCTATTCAGTAGCCTTAAATGGATTGTTTCTAACTTACTTCTCACATCCATGCCATTGCACAAGAATGAATGAATGAAGTGTTATCTTAACCCATGAAGCAGTTAATACTTTCATTTGATGCTTTTGTAGTTGCCCCATTGTAAGACAATAAGTAATATTTCTGTATCTTTTTCACATCTTTTTCACATGTCATTTGTTGTATATACCTTTTGGTTGTTGATCTCTAAATGTTGGGTTTTTCTGGTTCTTCCTATACAATCTACTGTGGCGCTTAGGTAGTGGGCCTCTAGTAGTCATCAAGAGTAATTTGCACTTAAATACATAGTTTGCAACTTGCAGTTTTCCCTAAAGAATCCAACGGAGTTGCTGACTCTTGGGTATACCAGAACACTCTGCTTCAGTGAGGCACTTTTAATTTCTGTTTGTGGTCTCTGAAAGTTAGCACCACGTTCCTTGTAAACAGAGAAATTCACAGTGCCTAGCCCAGACTCTGAATAAACTTCTGTTCTAGCATTCTGCTACCTGTTCACTGGTAGATGGTTTTTTTGGTCCCCAGTCTAGCTCAAATGCATTTAGGTGGGCAGCAGGAGAGAGACTGAATACCATGAAAATGTCAATCCCTATGTAGCCTTATTCTTCAAAGTTTTACAAGCAGATTTTCGGTTACCATAGTCATCTGGGCTCAGTGCTACAGAAAGCGTGTTTGGGAGTTAGTTCTTCCTACCTGTCACCTCCTCTGTCAACCTTACCAGTTGTGGTCCATTATTGCAGTGCTATGACTTTAGAAACTGATCAATAGTTTTAGGGATGCCTTTCATAATGATCAGACTCCACAGGAGATGCTTGCTTATGCTCTTTCCATGGCCACTGAACAGGTACAAACTGGTTGGAGGGGACTTAACAGTACTTGCTTATTATTTAAAAAAAACCCACCAATGTCCAGTTCTGTCTTGAGCAACTGATTTTTTTTTTTTAATTTAAAAACTTTAAGCTCAGGATAATGACTGTAGCCTTCAGCCTATAGACTGCGTCCTTCAAGGAGGAAACTTGCTTGCTGCTCTCACAGAATCACAGAAGGATTGAGGTGGCAAGGGACCTCTAGAGGTGATCTCACCCAACCCCCCTGCTCACGCAGGACCACCTAGAGCCAGTTGCCCAGGACTGTGCCTGGACAGCTTGTGAGTATGTCCATGGATGGAGATTCCACAACCTCTCTGGGCAACCTGTGCCAGTGCTTGGTTGCTCTCACAGTAAAAAAGCACTTCCTGATGTTCAAATGGAACATCCTGTGTTTCAGTTTTGCCCACTGCTGAAAAGAGCCTGAATCCATCTTCTTTACACTTCCCCTTCAGATATTTATATACATTGGTGAGATTTCCCCTGAGCCTTTTCTTCTCCAGGCTGAACGATTCCATCTCTCTCAGCCTTTCCTCAAATGAGAGAGTCTTCACTCTGTTAATAATCTTAGCGGTCCTTCTCTGGACTCTCTCCAGTAGATCCATGTCTCTGTTGTACTGAGGAGCCCAGAACTGGACACAGTACTGTTTACTCCAGGTGTGATCTTACTAGTGCTGAATAGAGGGGAAGGATCACCTCCATCAACATACTGGCAACATTCCTCCTCATGCAGCCCAGGGTACCATTTGCTGCCTTTGTGGCAAGGGCACATTGCTGGCTCATGATCAGATTGGTGTCAGCGAGGACCCCTGGGTCCTCTTCTACAAAGCTGCTTTCCAGCCCATCAGCCCCCAGCATATACTGGTTCATGGGATTATTCCTCCCCAGGAGGAGTTTGTAGTTCAAAAAAGGGAGATGCACGAGATTCCTGCCTGCCCATTTTTCCAGTTTGTAGAGGTCCTTGTGGATGGCAACACAACCCTCTGATGCAGCAACACCAGAGCTCTTGACCTGTGGGCATGTATCTTCATATTGTTATCAAAACATCTTGTTAAAAAGCATATGCTTTGTTCTTCATAGAATGATTTGGGTTGGAAGGGACCTTAAAGACCATCTAGGTCAAACCCCCTGCCATGGGCAGGGACACCTTCCACTAGGCCAGGTTGCTCAAAGCCCCATCCAACCTGGCCTTGAACACTTCCAGGGATGGGGCATCCACAGCTTCTCTGGGCAACTTGTTCCAGTGCCTCATCACCCTCATAGTGAAGAATTTCTTCCTTATCTAATCTAAATCTACCCTCTTTCCTATTAAACATGGTTGTAGATTCAGAGGTCTGATTGTACTCCCCAAGATCTTCACCAGTACTCTGACAGAAAATTGTTCATCTCAAAAAGCAGGGTCCTTCATATTACCATGCCTCCAATGACAGCTTCAAATTTAAAAAAAAAAAAAAATAAAATTACTCAGGGTTATAATGAATATATTCAGTTTTCTTGGACTTCTATTAAGCTACCACAAACTCTTACCTGGTGCCAGTACTGTATTTCAAATTCAGCAGAGATGCACATGATCTGGCCTCAGGGGACTTTTCTTCAGAGCTTTCTGCAATTTTGTGGGATCTTCTTCTGCAGCTGTAACTATTCTTGGACCCATGCTTGATGTTAACAGATACACACATGCAGGGCCTTCTAGCTGTTGCTCTGCTCTTTTAATGAAAATCTACTTGCTTTGTAGACAGCTTCAAGCTCCTCTTGGAATAATATCTGTTACGTGGTGGCAGAATTATAATTCTCATGTTTGGGTAGGCATGTTGTCCTACTCACCTCCTTCTATATGGCCGGGACATAGGGGTTATTTCCACCCCCCCCCCCCCCCCCACCCCCCCCGGTTTTGTCTCCACCTATGAATGAGGCTTCTCTTAAAAAGAGGAGGAGCTCTAAGGAAGTATGGGTGTCTGACCAAAACCAGTTCTTAAATGCAGACTTAATCTCTGGCAGTCTGAAGTATTTGTTCAAGTTTAGAGTTGGGCTTGGCCATGATGTCTCCCAATTATATTGGCAATTATTTCTGTTTTGTAGCCTCTGCTGAGGGTTCTCTGCTCTTATCCTGCCTTCCTTCAGTTTGGGAATGTTTAACTACATTTCTTGCCTTGCTGTTGTCTGAATTTGCAACTTACACATTTAAATGTTCTGTGAATGTTTTTGGTTTTGTGTTTGTTTTTTGTTGGTTTTTTGTTTTGTTTTTTTTTAAGCTACCTATCTAAGGTCTAATTCTTTTCTATAGAATTTACATTCCTTATTGATATTACTTCTTCCCATAGGGTGGATAAGATTCAGGCCCCTGACAGCAGAGACATGGTATTAACATGTACCTCTTTTTTTTTTTTTTTTTTTTTTTCTGTGATTCTACTGGTTTTTGTGGATTATTAGTTAGGAGGAAATTAGGATATATGGTATAGTCAGATTTGTTCAGTGAGGAAGGGGCTTGGGGGTACCCAAGTACTCATGCTAGGAGGTAAATACTCAGTCTTGTGTACTTAGAACACAGCTGCTCGATATCAATATAAGTATGTGGGCAATACATCTGAAATCTAATGGTAAAAAAATTTGATACTGTGCAGGACTGGAGGAGAGTCAGTCTTTGGAGCTATACAGCTTAATTCAAGTTTGAGAGTTATTAGCCAAGATGCATTTTCACCTGTGTCAGTTGGAGTCTCTGTGTATGTGTGTATATAGGCAAGATTGTCTATTGGATTTTTGTTTTACTGATGGCACTGAATTGTTTTATGAAAATGTAAAAGTATCAATTTCCAAAATGCAGAAAGTTAGTACTATATATCTGGGTATTTATTTGACAACTGACTTCTAAAGTGACCTGCTTTCAGTAGCTTTAATGGTAGACTTGATTGATGAAACCTGGCAACAAAAACGAGAAAAGTTAAGAACATTCTTATTTGATTGCACAGCTTTAAATGTTACCTGTGTACACAGAGAAGGGTGTCAAAAATTCCTTATGCAGAGATGCAGCTTGTAACAGGCTGGTTGTTTCTAGTGGAAATTTTCATTGATCAAATACTGTGAACTTCAGTGTGTTTGTAGAAAATGAACCTTTTTTAGAAAATTAAAGGTGCCTCTTACTACTGAACTGAGATTTCAATTTTCTAATACTGAAGGAGTGCAACTGCATGCACTTCTTTCACCTGAAAAAGTGCCTTATTTAGAAGATCTTTTTCCTAAATGCCTAACATTTAGTATCAGATGTATGTAATATTTTGGAGTACTCTGTTATAACTGATTTTGCAAGGGATTAGAATGTAATGAAAAGTGGATTAGAAACAAGCCTGGTGCAATGATTTAAAAAAAAAATAGTACAATGTCAAGATTCTAGCAAGGTATTGGAGTGGATATAAACTTAAAATGAGAAAACCACAAACTGTAGTCAATCTGTTGTACAAGGTTATTGTTCGGATTCATGCAAGAGGACTTTTCAGATTGTCTTAAAAGTTGCCTTTTATAGAAGTTCTTTCTTGAAGATGAGCTTTAATTTGTGTTCTTCCAAAAGCTTTTTTCTTTAAAAATGTAGAACTGCTTGTCTGAAACTTTATCCCTTGCTTCTACTAATTGGAAATCTCTCATTCTCTTTCTTTAAATCTTTTACCTATCAAACTGTAAATAGTTGAAAGCTGTTTCTCACTTGTTTCTTTTGATCTTTCAGATAAAATTTATCTTTCAATCTTTGTCATTTATGTTAAGAAAAAGTACTGTGACAGATTTTTATAAATATTCCTCAGCGCACTTATTGCTTTCCAACCCCCCCCCCCCCCTAAGATGATTTGGCAATTTACTGTGACTTATGTTACAATCTTCAGAATTCTTCTGGGGGGAAAAAAAGGTAAATTGGTGATTACCCAGTCAGGTGTATAAGTCTTTTAGCAAAACAAGCATTATCCTGAACTTAATTTCTGCAGAGGTCTTGCTGAAGCAAGAATATGAACACATGCTTAAATGTTTTGCTGATTGCAGTTGTGATAGCTTATTGGACAATCAGTATTCTAAATACCTACTGGAAGATGAAAATCAATGTTAGTGTATGTCTTCAATGAATGGTAAGATGAAAATCAATGTTAGTGTATGTCTTCAATGAATGGTAAGATGAAAATCAATGTTAGTGTATGTCTTCAATGAATGGTTACAATATATTTTCTCTCTTCTGGCAACAGGTTGTCTTGGCTCGAGAATTGGCAAGTTCTAGAGAATATGCCAGTAAGTATCGACTCCTTCAACATGAACTTTTTAAAAATACAGATCAATGTAGTACTGTTACAAAACACCTGTTCAAAAGACAGAATTAGTGGGTTTATGATAATTTTATCTAAAAAAAAAAAAAAAAAAAACCAAACAAATTACTTAGACGGACTTCATTTGGTTGTACCTCCTGCATTTTCACTCTCTCTTTTTTCATTAAGTTAAAATTCTAGAAAAACGTCATATCATAAAAGAAAACAAGGTGCCATATGTGACACGAGAGAGAGATGTAATGTCCCGCCTGGATCACCCTTTTTTTGTGAAACTCTACTTCACCTTTCAGGACGATGAAAAGCTATGTATCCTTTGCGTTTTAAAACTTGCTGTAACGCTTTCTGAAAAGTAGCAATTCCCAGTTTTGGTTCCTTTGAAACATTGTCTAACAGGAATGTTGAGAAGAACTTGCGGTGTGTAAAATATCTTAATGTTTGTGATGCAATTTTTGCAGTCATGCTTTTAATAGAAATTAAGCAAACAGAATAAGTGTGCCCCCTCAAAGAGAAGAGTGACTGACTTACAGGACAGGGGAAATGAATAAAACAGTAACTTACATTGTCCATGTGGTAAATGCTGAAGGGCGACTTGCAACAACCTAAGTTTAAAATAATTAAAAAATTTGGGGGGTGTATGAGAAATGTTTTAGAAATGCTTTATTTCTGATATATACAGTAAACCACCACAATTCCTGTGTTTAAAATAGGGGTAGCCAGCTATATTTACTACTATTTCTTATTTGAACAATTAGATCTGTTAAAATTTTTCTTATGTAAAAGTGCTTACAGAGTAATCTGATAGAAAGCTGAAACTCTTCTGTTGGGGTCACTGTTTCCCAAGTTATCTCTCTAGCAGTAACTGCAAAGTGCGGTTTTGTCTTGAAAGCTCATTGGTGTGCAGTCGGCATTTTTTTTTTCTTGTGAAGAAAATGTTAATCATTTGAATTTCCTCCTAAACCTCCTGCTTTGAATTGTCTGTGCCAAGAGTAAAATGATAGATCAGTCTATTTCTGGGGTCAGTTAAGTAGTTGTGTCTTTCACAGAGGCTGCTAGCAGTGCTAACAGTCCCTATATCGTGTGTATACATACATACATGGATACATGCGTACACACATGCACTAACAGAACTTACAGGGGCTTTCTTTTGTAATGTCAACATTTGCTCATTGAACGCTGGGCTGGCTTTGGAACTTTCCAGATGATGGGGCAATTTTAAACTTAGGTCAAATGCTTGTTATAACTGTAAATGGTTCTCTTTGCGGGCAATTATGTATACAGTTGAAATGAATTATTCAGGTGACTGGAAAAACTACAAATTTAACACTTTAGGTAGTCTTTGCTATGCTAAGAAATTGGGACCTGTGTCTTAGGTTGTTAATATATTTTAAAAGTTGTTTTAGGTTGCTACCATGTAGAGTTTCAGATTAACCAACTTCACTTCTACCCTGTTGTTCATGTGTGCTTTAGTATTATTCTTCTCTTTGCAATGAGGTATGGGGATTTTTGTTTTTAGAATGGTTTGGTGATAGACCTTAACTATACTTACATTCAGATTTTGGGCTTAGCTATGCCAAAAATGGAGAGCTGCTAAAGTATATACGCAAAATTGGCTCATTTGATGAGACCTGTACCAGGTTTTATACTGCTGAAATTGTATCAGCCCTGGAGTATTTGCATGGGAAAGGAATAATTCACAGGTAATACAATGTTGAGACCAACATGCCCTTGATTATGCACAAGGTGTTTAGCACAAGGTGTGCTAGAAAAAAATGTTCTTTGTGAAGTCTAAAGTAAACGTGAATTTTGTCGAAAGCTAATGAGGGCATAATAGCATTTCATTAGCATTAGTACTGTTGTTAACATAGGGAGCTAAACAAAGAAAACTTTAGGATGGGAGCCAATCTCTGTTATTAGACCAACTGTTCTAGTGGAGGGAAAAAGAAAGAAAACTTTTTGGCCTCGGATTACTAGCTACACTGAACATGTTTAAGACTCAGCTGGACAGGGTGCTGGGCCATCTCATCTAGACTGTACTCTTGCCTAGAAAGGTTGGACGAGATGATCCTTGAGGTCCCTTCCAACCTGGTATTCTATGATTCTATGAATTGACATTACCAAAAGCTTGTCTTTTTCAGTCTTGATCAGTTGGTCTAAAACCAGAAACTGACTTTTTGTTTAACTACATCTTTTTTCTGCAGTGTTATGTACCAAAAGTAACTAGAATTCTGCTGGTGTGTGAATTAGTGTGCAGCATGTCATCAAGAAAAGTAAAATTAATGTATGTCAGTTTTCACTGAGTGAACAATTTCCACAAAACTGAACAATAAGTAGGTAAATGGTGAAATTTAGCAAAGTTTTTAATGGGACCTTCACAGTTGTTCTTGATGTAATTATATTGTCTGGATAAGCATGTTTCATCATTCATGTTTATTAAAAAAATTAAAGCTGTAAGTGTGAGAAATCTGAGCTGCAGAACTTCTTTTTGGGTAAGAAATCTATTGTGTCTGTAGGTTCCCAAGCAGCTGTTCATGGAACAGTAGATGCTAGTTGGCAAAAAGCTGGCTTATTATAATTCTGATAGCATTATTACTTCTTTCAGTTATATTTAAGAGGACGAAGTATTTTCCTAGTACTTTTCTGTGAAATAATTGGGAATAGAATCTAAGGGGGCTGGATGTGGAGAGTACTACAAGTATAAAATTTTCTACAGGGGAAAAAAAAGTTCCAGAACTCCCAGTTTGACTGTGATTATATAGTCCATGTGTTAGGCTGGGAGAATGCTTATAAAATGAATATAGCATGATTGTCAGTATTACTAAGCCTATATTGGAAATCTTGTATTATAAAAGAACTGCTTTATATTTGTCTTCATATGAAGGCCACTATGAGAAGCTCAAAAGAAAACAGTGAAATTGTTCAATTAGAGAACTTTATACTAGGTTTATTTAATTAAGTCCATAGCTCTGGCAGTGCCTGAAAGCTCTTGGGATTTTCTGCTGCCTACAGAAATATGACATGAGATAGAACTGCTTTTAAGATGTCAGGCTACTCTGGAAAAGCTACTACAGATATATCTCTCTCTATATATATAGATATATAGCTACATCCTAGATCCATAATATATTATGTTAATATATAATATAGGTATATGATATACAAACTGTATGTATATGTGTGTATAGAATACATATGTATACATACATATGTATATGTAAAAAAAAACCCACAGAACTGTTAAAAAGGTCCATTCCGTTCATGTACTTTCTACTTCTCTCTGAGAAAAGTCACAGGAAAATGAACAGGATTTTTATGGCTTGTGTGTCATAATTACTTCATTCCAATTGCTCTCTGTGCTAGTCCACAGGCTTTAAACTGCACAGCTGCACAACCCATGCTTTTCAATAATAGGGGGCTGTAATCTGAGGAAAATAATGCTGCACAGTGGTTGATGGAAACAACTCTGAATTTGCACTGATTTTTCTTACCTCAACTAAAACAACTCCCATGCTTCTAGATTTCTTTGAACATCCAAAGATACTTCTTAGGAGGGAAGGATGTTGTCTTTTCTTGTCAACTGAGGAAACTTGGTGCAAAGTAAATAATATAACAGTGTAACCCAATGCTATTTTTTATGTTGTTGCTGATGAACCTCTTGACATCTAACTCTATATTGCTATATATTGTCTGTGTGATACTGTGAGGTCTGATTTTATTCTGAATCGGAGGCAGTGTCCATACAAATGGTATGCCTACATTTGAAATACAGATTATACATGGATTTGTATGTGACACATGTAAACATGCCATTCTTAAAGAGTGGAGGTGGTTTACAGTTCTTATCTGGACATTTAGCTGGGGGGGTGGGGGTGGGGGGTTGCCATTGTTTGACTAACTGGAGTTTTGCACTGAGTAAACAGGCCTAGAATATCTTAACTGCCATATCAGTCTGTCAGATGTTATTTAAATTAAGGCTTGGGAGTGAAGGGTTTTTTAGGGTTTTTTGTATGTTTTTTCATTTTTGTTGAACAAGTGAGATGCACAATAGCTTGGTTTTGAGATTATTCATTACTTCAGGTCTTTTTAGAAAAAATGTTAATTAATGGGCTTTTCAAAATCTGTTAACAGTCTGCATGTTGATAGCTACAAGGTAAAGTTCACACAATAATGTTTATAGAATGTCTGCATCATTTATGATAGCATTATGTATGTGTCACTAGGCAGTTTTGCAATGTTAATTTGTGTACTATTCAAATATTAAAAATCTGCCTTTTCCAGGGACCTTAAGCCAGAGAACATCTTGCTAAATGAAGATATGCACATTCAAATAACAGACTTTGGAACAGCAAAAGTATTATCTGCAGATAGCAGACAAGGTATGCCATTATTTACTTCATCATGTGACACAGGTAACTATAGCATGTGGTCCTTTGAAAATGTATGTATGTTATATTTAACACATTGTAACCTTAAAATATCAGTACTTCTTATCTAACAAAATCACAGAGAGCTTGAAACAGTTTTGATTGTCACTGCTTAGATTATATCAGAAGAGCTAATATTTGGTGTAGTGGCCTAGCCAGCTAGATCACCAAATATAGTGGGAAGTTAAAGTACTTCAAATTACTTTTCATTTGCAAGACAAGAATACAAACAAACAGTTACTCTGGCTCAGCTGAAACAGTAAGTTTTTACTCTGGTTATGTATTTAACCCCAGTGACTATCAGAGTTGCTTAAATGTGAAGGTTACAGAATTCTTGTGTCACTAGTTGCTTAGTATTAACCTGTGAATCAATGATGCTGCAAGCAATGCCTGAAAAAAGCACTAGGCTGAACTGAATTTGATAACTTAATTTTTTACTTGAATGTAGTAAGCCTGTGTTTGTACATTTTATACCTAACGAAGTGCCTAGCTTCTTGAACCAAATTGATATCACTGAGATTAATTGATTGATTTGTCTCTTCCAAGCAGGTTTTGTGGATGGGTAGAGAAATGAAATTCCTGTGGGTTCTTTGTAGCATTATGTAACTTGCAATAGATTGCCTTTGTTTTTTGTTTTTTTTTTTATTGGGTGGGGGCAGAGGGGAAGGGGGGAGGCTTGCTCGCTTCTCCGTAAGTATATATTTGCTTATTTCTTTCAATTTTCTTAACAGCACGGGCAAACTCATTTGTAGGGACAGCACAGTATGTTTCTCCAGAACTGCTGACAGAGAAATCTGCCTGTAAAAGGTGAGGACTCTATTGTATTTCAGAACTTTACTGGCTCTGTCAGGATACTGTCAAATGGACAGGAGGGGATAAATAAAGTAAGCAAGCTTAGTATTTCAAAGAAACAAGATGCTTGAGTACACAGGTTTTTTTTAAGTGTTTGAAATATTTTTTTCTTAACAAGTATTGCTTCTTGTCTGAGTGCTGGTTTCCTCAGTTCATCTACCTTCTGGTAGATGGTGTTGTCAGGAGAAGGAGGTGTGCAATGTGAAGTTGGTTTTCTCTTACCCATAAATAAATCGGAAAAACTTCTTCTGTTATCCAAATAATATAATTATTTTAATTCTGTTTTATATAAGCTTGCTCTAATATGGTAATTCAAAAACCAACAGAATGTCACATTCTGTCAGGGGAGAGGTTACAGCTTGCTTTGACTTGTATTTAGATCAACTTGCAGTTATCTTTGCTAAGCTCTGCTTGGGGTTTGCAGTGGTTTAAAGCTCATCTCTGTGCCTAGTATGAGTGATACCCTTAAGAAATTTCTTCTCATTTAAATTGGTTCTTGATGGTAACCTACAGACTGTTGTATATCTATTTTATTAAAATGATGAAAGAATAATCAAAGTCATCACTGATAAATCATAGGGAAAAGTGATCTCTTAAATGAATAACTATGGTAATTTGTGCTAGCTGTTCTCGAAATGATAGAAATACCATTAGACTTTCCACTTTTGCTTCTAGTAAAAAGGTTTTGACTGGTTTGGCTAATGGAAAGACCTTCATCAGGCTATCATCTCCTTTTAGAAGTTACATAATGCTTCATCTTTACAGAAAATTCTTAATTTGAGTAGTTTTGAGTCTTTGTTAGTATTTTAGTCTTCCATGAGGATTTCTAAGCTTTAATCAAATCTATGTATAGTTTACCTGGAGGTAAAATAAGTTACAGCACACTAAAACTTAAGACTTTCCCTCACCCATGTACCATATAGCCTGTCTTTTTGTTTGTGTCTTAAGAAACGCTTTAAGTGAAAAAGCTGTATTGTGTCTTTTTTTTGCATAAAATATTTAGAGGAAAGGATTTTAATTCTGAAGGAGCATATATTGCATTGTTGGATGCATTTTTTAATTGTGGTAGTGGATAATAAGTATTCTTTTTAGTCTCATTACATACCCATTCTTTATTTTGACTGAGAATTCAGCTGTTTTGCATATGCGCTTGTAGCCAGTTGTTGTGGGATGGTTACTGTATACTTCTTTTTTTTCAAAAGTTGTGTTGCTAGCCTACTCTTCTGTCAAAGAATGAAGTGAAAATAGTGTGGAAATCATGCTAGGCAGGTTTGTCTGATGTGTTCGTGCTATGTTCTAACTAGCAGAAGCTTAAGATTTTTTTTTTTTCCCAATTACGGTTTAAAGAATTCTTATAGGAAAACATGCAATGTGTTTTTTCCTCTTTCTTTTGAAGCTCTGACCTCTGGGCTCTGGGATGTATAATATATCAGCTTGTAGCTGGATTGCCTCCATTTAGAGCTGGGTAAGAGATTTAAGCTAATTCTTTATGTGTGGATCATAAATATATTGACTTGGTTTTGGCTTTTGCCTTACTACCACTTCTGAAGTACAACTTTTCACGGTGCAGTGTTGGTGTTAATGTCATGCCTGCTTTTATTTGTCCTTTCTGATGTCATGAAGATGCTTAGACAGCTATAACTAGAGTTCCTGAGAGAGATTCCTTAATTTATCTTAGGATTTCACATGTAACTTATACCATAAAGGTAACTATGCCTACATGAAGAGCGTATGAGGCACCTCTATATTGAGCCATTTGAACTTTTCTTGTTATTATTCAAGTATCTGGTGCTTACAGGATCATAGATACTTGGAAGACTGTACCCCTTTACCCTAGAAAGATTTATGAGAATATGATTTAACTTGTAGATCTCCTGTTTAATATTTGTCCACATTATGCACTGTTAAGGTGAAGGAACCATGGAGAACTAATAACAAGAGCTAATATTTTTCTCTTTTGCAGAAATGAATATCTTATATTCCAGAAGATAATAAAGTTGGAATATGACTTTCCAGAAAAATTTTTTCCCAAGGCAAAAGACCTTGTTGAAAAGCTATTGGTAAATATTTGCTGCTGTTCAATGATTTGATGACATTGGAAACATTCAGCTTATGTAGTTTTTTCCTAAAGTTTCTCTGCACTCTGTTGCAAAATTTATAATAAGAACGACTGTGAGCATTACTGACTGCGTAGGGGAGTGTCTTGAAAATCAACATCCATTATTAAACAGCACTTAGATTATTTTTTTAAATCTGAATTCTAAAGCATGGACAAGGAATGTCTCTCAGTGAAATGGAAGCAAATGGTTCTAAATACTGTGCATTACACACAAGTTAACATTCAAATCCTTAAGTTTACATAGTACTCAGATTAATTCTTGTTGTTGTATAATGAATTGTTTAGTTGAAAAGTGTTCTATACATCGTGGGGAGATATATTCATTACAATGTAAATCAACTTACTTTGCATTTTAGCATGCACTTACCTTGCACTTAATGCATGTCTCAATAGTATCAGCCAAAGAATTATTCTGCATGTGAATGTTTGACAGATAGGAAGAGAAAATAGTTCTGTCTCATCAGTGAGATATAGCCATGACACTAAAATGAATATGCAGAGAACATTTTGGGTGGTATAAGCTTTTTGAAGTTCTATAGTCTAGCATATTAGCATGGGGCAGGGGGTGAGGAGGAAACTCTGTGTCTTATGTTTGTGAATGATGCCGAGTGCAACCATTGTGAAGGGTCTAGCAGCATGTTCCTGTGTCCAGGCCAGCTCTATGGCCAAGCCAGTGCCTGCTGAATGGTAAGGTCCAGGTTGTGTCACCATCCTGAGAACTGTGCGGTTTTAGGGTGCTTGAGAGGTTGATGTTTGACACCAACTATAGCTTCCACAGCTTCTTGCATCAATAGAATGTGATGCTGGGCTATACTTAAATGAGCTATGCTCCATCAGGCCTTCTCTGTATGTTTGCTTGGTTTTGTTTCTGTCTTTGTGAAGAAACAAAGCCAAAAAAATGTGTGGACCCAAAGAAGTGCTCCTTTCTCTAGATCTGTGAGCTTATCTAATGCAAAATGTTGCTGACAAGACATACTGACAAATAACATCTTGTGTTTATAAGCAGTCTCCTTACATTCTAGATATGTACGCTTAGGGCAGTGAGACCAATTGGTTTTAAGTTTTTGCATGCTGCTATGCAAATGTTAATAGTGCTCACCCTTTCCTTGTCGTTATTTCATGCATGTTAACTTAATTGTAATTTGCTCAGGTTCTAGATGCTACCAACAGATTAGGTTGTGAAGAAATGGGAGGATATGGACCTCTTAAGGCTCACCCCTTCTTCGAATCCATTGTGTGGGAGAACCTACATCTTCAGACACCTCCAAAACTTACCGCGTATTTACCTGCTATGTCAGAGGATGATGAAGACTGTTATGGAAATGTATGTTTGTCTATTGTGATATTCAGCTCTGATGCTGCCTGAGACTTTCATTAAAGCATAATTATTGCATATTAAATAGTTTTATTGGAACTACTGATTATTTGTATTTTAATGAAGACTCAATTACTGAGAATCTAATATAAAATTGCTGGTTAAAATTTGAACTAGTCAGCATTTTTTTTCTGATAAAGTGAGTGTTTGGAAAAAATACTGGTTGGCTTGCTTTTGACCAAGCATACTTTTTTGGCTAAGTGCCTGTTAATCTATAGACAGTAGGCTGTCTTTTTGCCCAAAAGCATAATAAACAAAAGTATGCTTAAATTAAAAGCCACAGTTTAGTGCAAAATAAGCTTTTTAATAAAAAAAAATTCTTTACTTCATTTTGTTTTCCTCCTTTAGTATGACAATCTCCTGAGTCAGTTTGGTTGCATGCAAGTTTCTGGTTCTGCCTCTTCCCATTCACTGTCTGGCCCAGAGACAAGTACACCACAGACATCAGGAGGAAATATTGAACAGTATATTCATGATCTTGACAACAATTCCTTTGAGCTGGACTTACAGTTTTCTGAAGATGAAAAGAGGTTACTTCTGGCAAAACAAGCTGGTGGAAATCCTTGGTAAGATCTTTGAATATACCTCATCTGTTACTTGCACAGCGGTAAAGAATCCGAAAAAATAAGTTATTTTGATTCAAATTAGTATTTGTCAATCTTAATATCTTCAAGCATACAATTAGCTACTAGAGTTTTCTTGACTTATATTTTTAAAGCAATAGCAGTGAAAACCTAATACTACGTTTCTAAAATTTACAAGGTCTAGAAGATGTTGTGGAGTATGTTTATAAGATAGGCAGAAATGATGCTATACCAGTTCTGAGAAGTCTTCCCTCTACAGAGTCCTAGAACTAGAAAAAGTTCCTTCTTTCTTACAGTTACCATAAGTTGGTTTTTCTGAATGATAATATTCTGTTGATATCTAACCAAAATACCTCCAGACCATGTACTTACTAGCATTTCTCTTCACTCTTGAGAGGAGTTTCTCATTTGTGGTCCCCTCTCCCCTCCCCGCTGTCAGATTTTAGAAAAAACTCTGGTGTGGAATGAGTCCAAAACTTATGTAGTAGTTGTTCAAGACTCTTTGGTGGAAAAGGAGGCACTGGGGAGAGACATGGAAAATTGCTTGATAATAATAATAAAAGCTGTTTCTGTGGAAGAATTACTTCTGGAGTAATAGTTATTTTTTTTTTTTAAGGCATCAGTTTGTAGAAAATAACTTAATCCTAAAAATGGGCCCAGTGGACAAAAGAAAGGTAAAGGCTTTTCTTAATTTCCTGTAACAAGATTCAGCTGTCACATTTTTGCACAGTTGCAGCATAGATAAGGAACCTGTTTAGAGCTTCCTTGTTTAACTTATTTGTGTCAAATTGTTTTGTTTATTTTTTAAAATGTAGTGTTTTCTTGTGAAAAGATTGGTTTTTCTTAATTTAGTGGTGTGCTCTTGATTTTCGGAAAAGGCTAAAAGTAAATGTGCTATTGATGCTTTCATTTTGAGACTGTAGTAAACGAGTTTTTGTTCCCTCCCCTCGTCCCAATCTGATACAGCCCACTAAACACTTTGTCTTGATGCATGTCTGCATGTGGATTGAGCCCCAAATATTGGAAAATAAAATACGAGCCCATATTGTCCTTAACTGTGGTGTTTTTCCTGGATCCGACTAGTGCCTGTATCCTGAGAGAGGCAGAGGTGACATTAGAACAGCTTTAGGTTTTAACTTTAACATGGTACAGATGAGCAACAGTAGTCTTTGTCAGCTTTACAGGAGTGTAGGTTCTCTTTCATCTAAGTTACTACCTGCTTGCTCCTGATTTTCTCCACAAAATCATGAGTATTGACTTCTGTGCTGGAATGTCTGACAAATAGATTTTGCTTCACTCTGTACAGCTCGATGTTTTATGTTTTTTTAGAACTTGAAGATGCTCTCTTAAAATAGCACTTGTGTTTTGCCATGTAGTAGGAATGCACTGCAACCCCCTAAAAAAGGAGTGAGGTCAAATAGGTAAAGCAAAAGGGGAAAACAAAGTCGCCCAAACTCAAACATACTGTCCTATCACTGAGCTGTTCTAATTCTACCTCAGCTGTTAAATTCAGAGATCTACACATTTACATTTTTTTTTCTCATGCTTTTTTTGCATTGCTGCTTCTAATTTTCTTGTTAGGGATTGTTTGCACGTCGGCGCCAATTGCTGCTCACAGAAGGGCCCCACCTGTATTATGTGGATCCTGTCAACAAAGTTCTAAAAGGAGAAATTCCATGGTCTTTAGAGTTGCGGCCAGAAGCCAAGAATTTTAAGACATTTTTTGTTCACACAGTAAGTGACTTTCTTTAATTTCTTTGTAAGTTGCACTAAGGTCCTTGAACAACTATTGTAAGTTGTTAACAAATACGTTTTTCTGGAGAAAATATAATTCCTTAAATACAAGTGTTGATAGACTTAATTTAAAAAAAAAAAAAAAAAAAAACCAAAAACGAACACAAAACCCAAGCCCAAAAAAACCCAAACCAAAACAAAAAAAAGCCCCTGACATTTCCCATGAAAATACAATTGTGTAAATAAACTATAAGTGGATTTTGGGATTTGAAGGAAGTTCTTGAGAATTACTTTTAAAATTTAGCCCTCTTTGTATATAGAGGATCACAATGAATGTACCAACAATATATTGTCAGTTGACTTTCGACTGCTTAACAATATTGAAATGCCAGATGTACAGTTATTCAGTAATATGTAATGTTATATAACTGTAATTGAATTTAACTTTTGGAAAGTTTATGAACTAATTCTGAATAATTATTTTATTGGGAGGTGTTGAATAATTACTGCTTTTTGGTTAAAATGTGTTTGGAGTACTCATTAAAATGTTGTTCACTTATAGCCAAACAGGACATATTACCTGATGGACCCGAGTGGGAATGCTCATAAATGGTGCAAAAAGATACATGAAGTTTGGCGGCACAGATACCACCAGAATGCTGCTAAATAGTAAAGCTCATCCAAAATTTCCCAGTTTCCCTACTTGCTGCTAGAACTCCGTGTGCAGCCGATCAGAGGAATCTTTTCAACCCACCTATTACCATCTCAAGGGGAAGCATATGTCTGAAATGTTCTGTTTTGTTTTTTTTGTTTTTTTTTTTTTTAAAAAAGAAAGAAAGAAAGAAAAGCAAAAACCTAATGGAATTCAGGGTCGCTTTGCTCGCTCTTTGTGCTTCTGTTGAGGCTTCCACATGCATATCATTGCAGTGAAGATCTTGCTTTTGTGCACTTCAGCTCAATTTCTGCTGCAGACTAGTGGATAGACCTTGCATTACCAGCTTCACTTAAGATGAGTTAAAACCAATCCACACGCACACACGCCGAATCATGTACCAGCCTTGCATTTTATGGGGCTGGAGTTTTCTGTGACTTTCAGATTATCATTAAACTGTATTTCATCAGGGAGCTTTTATATGCCTCTCCTAAGCACCACCTCTTTGTTTTCTCTTCCTTTTCTCACAGTCCCCCAGCTTATTGGTATATGGCATTTATAGCCAGGTCAGTTGCACCCTTGTGTAATTCCTAATATAGTTCTGGTTGCAGGATTTATGTGGTACTTTAGTAATTATGTGAATGAATCAGATGTATGTGTCTGGCAGATAGGCTCCAATGATACAAGTTGTGAGAGAGTAAAATGCTGAACATGGCACTGAAAGTTTTCTAAAATTGAAATGTTGGCTTCTGAAGCCTATAAGATTTTAAACATTGAATTTAAATTTTAACATGAATCATACGTGTGTTTAATCAAGGGACAATAAACTTACCAGCATGCTTTTAACTAATGCTAACTAAAAATTAACTAGTTAGTATGGGGGAAAAAGGTTACTATTGAAGTAGTAAGTAGTTTTTCACCTTTTCAGGAGATGAGGGCTAGCAGCTTTCTTTCCAGGGTGTGCATGTACTGTGCATTTTAGTGGGGCCAACCTATTTACCTGGGTAGAGAAGGAAGTGTGAAAGCTTTGTACAATTGATTACTTGACTTTTTTTTTTGTCTCACTGTATAATGAGATGTACAAATAATCCTGTTTTTGGTCTTGGCCAAATATTTAGCAACTCTGAAAAAATTTAAGCAATTGAAATATTAGATCCATAAAGTAATCTGGTTAAAAACACAAAGGAAAATATTGATACAACGGAGAAAATATATGGTACTTAAGGCATATCTATAAAATGAAAATATTTTTCATATCGATCTCCTTTATCCTCTTCAAATTAAGACTTTTTTGTGGTCAAACATTTCGTGTAACGTTGCAAAGACATAACTTTCTATGTGCTAAAAACAACCTCCCTAATGGTATTTTCAACATGCCTGTGTTCCTGAATCTTGCAGAGAGGAATGACCTAGGTCTGGACAAAGGCATTCCTTCCTTGTTTTAAAAGCAGTATAAACATCACACCTATTTATTCACCTACACATACCATCTCTGCATTTTGAGGTCTTATACTATGATGTGCTTTTACTTGCACCAAAGAAAGAAATGTTCCACTGCAACGTTGAAAAAACTCACGGGCTACTGTTCTAGAAGCAGTATTTGAAAAGCAGTGGCTTATCAGGATTTCTCAGAAAACACATGAATGTTGGATATTTTGTTGTACAGGATGAAGGAGACTTATTGATCTCTTAGAAACTGTGTTATGTGGTTGAACTTGATGACAGTTCAGCTTTTCCAGTATCTTTCAGTCTTTAAACAAGAGAGTGCAGCTGCCTTTTCTTCTGGATGAACGACATTCTTGTAGTCTTCTGTTATCCCACCATGTACACAGACTTGACAAAAGTAAATCACTGGCTGACAGTGCCTGATGGTAAGGGATCTAAGGTGTCCTGTAAATGGCTGAGATGAAAGACAGAACAGCATTCCCTTTACATCATGAGAAATTTCATCACATACAAGGTACACTCCTTGTCACTAAAATTTGAATAGCACAGTACACCTTCTATCTGTGCCTGTATTAATCCTGTATTTACCATTCTAACCAAGATGACATGTATTGTAAGTTTGCTGCAGTGCTAGCCATTTGTTCTCTGGCTGTCAAATCCCAGCTGTGTGTTGGGTCCGCTGGAGGTGACCCTACAGCTTTTGGATTTAGCCTTTGGTATAGAGATGCAGACGTATTCCCAACATTATATAGGAGAGTTTGGCAGTGATGGAGATTCACGGTGCCGCTGCTGTTCGGTGTGACAAAACTTGGCCTCACATAAAAAGTCTGGCAAAGTTGTTCTGCTAATAGTGAACACCTTAGCTTCATTCGGAGATGAGTGATCTCCCTTGGCTTGTTCACTAGGTGGAAACCTAGTAATGCTTAAACATGTTTTCTGAAATATTTAGACTTGTAGTCATTTTGCCATAACAAAGTACTGTTTTTTTCACACCTTGAAAATCCTGTCTCAGCAGACTTCCGTCCTGCCCACCAAAAGCTTTCAGCCAAAGAAATCTTGATAGAAGTAAGCTATCAAGAATGTGTCTGGAAGGCTGATGTCTGCATTCTAGTATTGCTTTTTTCTTTTGACAATGCTGTCATTAGAAAACTGTGAGCATCTCTTACAGGCATCTCTCCCATTAGAACTTCAGTGTTCCAAATCAAGTCTTCCTTAGCTGTTGCTTTTTTGGGAAGGGACTAGAACTTTTCTGGGAGAGGTATTTGTCTTTCTTGTACTGTAAGTGAAATCTGTGATTTTGAAAGATGGCAGAAGAATAGAGTGAGGCAAGACAAAGCAATCATGTGGATTCAAGTATGTTTCACCAGTTTGTCCGCTTAAATGTGTATTGGCAGGTGCCGCATACTATGAAGGGCTGGTTCCTGTTTTAAATGCTTATACCTGAAGTGGGGTAGCTTCATCTTTGTCCTGAAGATCACTCCTGTGGTTCATGGGAGTTCATGGAATGAAATGCACAAGGGAGGTTCTTCAGAGCTGCAGATAAGCCAGTTAATTTCTCTGCTCTTTATCTGAGGTCTTTCAAAGCACAAAAAGGGTTGTTGGGCACTTGAAGACTCTTCTTCAGACTCCTCACTGCAAACCTGCTGAAAACCCACTCTGTTGATTGATTCATTCCATCTTTTGCATTTTCAACAATTGCCAATCATTTGTAAAGAATCTGGTCAGTAATGTTGTAATTTTGTTTTCCTTGGGATTTGAACTTCAGGAAGGTGTTTATTGCATCTGTTTCCTGTGGGGTGGAGCTTAAGAAAGGATGAAGTACTACTGCTAGAAAGGATTTTTCGAATCACACTGTTGTATTCAGTGTCCAGCCCAGTCACAGGAAGTTTAAAGCTGCTTTGATAAACTGGAGAGATGAGTTTATTACCGTTGGCCTTAAAGTCCAGTTCTGAGAAGGCTTTATATTAAGGAAGACTTGCTTCAGATGTGATAGTGAGCAGACTGATATTACCTATTAAGACCTCATTTGCTAAGCACTTCGATGCTGAAGACATCAAACTATCAGATAGTACTGTGCTCCACTTAATTTTCTCCTTCTGATGTGATTTAGTTGTGAAATATCTGCTATATATAAGCCTGGAAAAAACTCTGTAAAAGATGTGATAATTGTAATCCATTTTCATAGTTCAAGATGCTTAATTTAATGTGCTTGATATAGTTACATTTTGTACTGGGAACATTGAAGAATCCTGAGGATTTCCCACATGTACATTTAACAGTTCCTTTTGAATGATGTAGTAAAGTCAACACAATTACTTCATTTGGCCTGTGGACAAAACATTTGATTCCAACACCTTGCTGAGGAGAGAACTTGTGTATTAATAGTTGCCTAAAGATGTGGTCTATGGATTCTGGTCATTCTTTCTACTAGTGAATTACATGAATAGGTGTGGTATTTATATCTGAAATTTTGCTGAATGCCTGTAATATTTTACGCAAATATTAATCAAATGGAAGTGCTCCTGCAAAGCTTCATGACACAGATTGTCCATCAGTTGATTGAGTGAGCTTATAGACAATAATTCTCTGACCCAAAACGGCATGCTTTCAGTTAAGGTAAGACTGGTAATTTAAGAATGTTTCCTCTTAGAAGAAATATGACTCTTTATACAGCAAAACAATTGGAGAGGTTCTTAAGCACCCAATAACCTGGTCTGTCTGTCAGCATGGCAGTGAATGTAGATGGTTGCCATTTGACACAGCTTCCTATGACCACGTACTAACTCTGATTGGATGTGGCAAATGTTCTAAATTGTAGCAGAACTTACAATTACTGTATCTGACAGAAGAGGAAAAAATAGGAACCAGGAACCATAATCAGTTTTGATAGTTGTATGCTAGCTGTTTTCAGGTTGGTGGCAGTCAGTTATGTGTGTAATATTCTCTACCTGGTTTGTAGCTGTAACTGTGATGTACAGATAAAAGCGAGAAAAGAAGAAAAAAAAAAAACCAAAAAACCAAACCACCAACAAACCACCACCCAAACAACCAACCCCCACAAACACCACAAAACAATCTCCCCTCCTCCAAGAACTTGTGAAAACAGAAGCAAATAATGCAATGATATAAGATACACACTTTTGTATTTTTATTCTTAAAGGTTATTTGCTGGCTCTTGTTGGCCTCTATTTCAGTCTGTGTTATTTAAATTCTAATATATGAATTATTTGGATTGAATTCATGTTCGGGGCCATGGTGTTGTATGTATTGATGTACAGCCTTGAATGTGAATAATTATTGTAAACTATATTTTACACCTTTTTTCTGGCTTTATTATATAAATTTTCTATTGGTCGATGATTTAATCATATCTCATAATTTAATGACTGTTTATTCTCCTCTCGACAGATCTCTGTGCTGTAGATGTGTAGTTAGTGACTGGATGACGGATTTCACTTACGCTTGGTAGTCTGTAATAAAGGCATGTAGGGTCCTGGCCTGGCCTCCGCCTCTTCCTTCCGCCGCGGGGGGGCGGGCGAGGCCTCCGGCCCGGCGGCGGCGCTGTGGAGGCGCAGGGGCCACCGCCCGCGGCCCTTGTTGGC